TTTAGACCGGCTAGAGAACAGCGATAGTAAATCAGAACCACTTGCAGAATTGAGTGATAATGATTGGTGGGGGAAATTCCTCATCAGACACTGAAAACGATTCTGCGACTGAGCTCAGCGATGGGCCAACTTGGCGCTCTATTTCACATTTCAGTGTTTTTGGTGATTATATTATTGAATTACATTTATTATTATTATATTATTATTTTTATGATTATTTATTATATTATAATTTATGATTTCGTGTTTCAAGTTTTATCCTCCCCGGGATGTTTACTAGACTCTTGTCCGGACAGATTTCAGGGAGTTATTCCTAAAAATTACAGACCTACAATAAAAAACCACATATTTCCATGGAAAAAAATGTACCGCTTTGAGCACAGAAATCCTGACATCATCAGACCGCTGGGGAGGTAAGAAAGCAGTATCTGGAACCTGGAACAAGAATTGTCTGCCTTTGGTGGGGGGGTTGGGGTATCGGGGAGCAGGGGCGGACTGACAACTCATGGGGCCCCTGGGCAATAGGGGATCATGGGGCCCCTGTGTCCTTGCCCAAACTCCAAAAAGCCTATGATAAAGGTACCAGGGGCATCTCATGGGGCCCCCTACTGACCCCGGGCCCTCGGGCAGTGCCCGAGTTTCCAAATGGTCAGTCCGCCCCTGTCGGTGAGTTTTTTTTTTTTCCCTTGTGTGGCAAAGTTGGCACTTTTTGCCCAGAGTTGGGTTTGTTTGTTCCCTCTGGACCAGCCTACAGGGGCTGACACTGACACACATGGGAATCACTGCGAGACTCCACACCACTCTGTGACTTCCCCAGCTGTAGACACAAATGTTGCGCGATGACGTCCACTTATACTGTCTATTTTCCGATTTTTTCCGCCTCAATAAACTTCCTGCATACAAGCCCCAGATGGAGAGGGAAGACGCGCCGCGTCCTACTGGTATTGTCAAGTGACTGGAGGCAATGAAGGGTCTTCTCATCCTTCACATGTCTGATGTCTAAGGATCTCGTCCTCCTGACAACATCTCCACGCTGCAGTTTCCTGAATGAATAACGCGACCCGTCAAACAGGCAGAATTACTGCGCCGGAGCTGCAGACGCTGCAATATATCGGTGACAGACGCGCATTTAAAGGTGACGCGTGGAAACCCTCGGAATTCGTTCTGCGGAGGAGATTTTTTTTGTGCTCTGGCTCACCTAGCCTTCCATTTCAGGTTGTTGCCAAGTTTGCATACTGGCCAAGTACGTCTTAAAGGGAACCAACGCTTCCGGAAAATTCCAGCCTGCAGCTGCCATGACCATGCTAAGATCTCCCAAAAAATGATTGTTGCTTCTTTGTAGCCTTGCCAGGCATGATAACGGCATTATTTGTCCCAGCCCCCGAGACACTGTCAGCTCTGCCCACAACCTGCACTTAACACGCCCACCTTTGGGCAGTCCTGCCCAGACCACGCCCACTTTCCAGTCTCACCAAGGTCACACGCACTCTTTGGGAACCACCACAGTCCCCTCAGTTAATATCCTTTTTTGATTGCTTTGCATTCCCAGTAACTTACATAAGGGTGGTGCTGTGATGTTGGGACATAGCCCGGGACACATCAGCATTGGGACAGAGGTCTAAGCCAGGCAGTTGGCATCTACAACAATGCGTTCAATATATTTTTTGTGTACGGGACTCTCCCAGAATCCTCACATCCTACTTGTGCGCCTGGTTTTTGTTGTTTCCAGTCTTTTTATTGCAACACTGAAGCTGATCATGTGACCATAACAGCCAGAAACCCCCCCCCCCCTGCTTAGCACTAGGGATAAGCCTAAATCCAGCCATAGATGGGCTCAGGGGCGGACTGACAACTCATGGGGCCCCTGGGCAATAGAGGATCATGGGGCCCCTGTGTCCTTGCCCAAACTAAAAAAAAAAAGCCTATGAAAAAGGTACCAGGGGCATCTCATGGGGCCCCCTACTATAATAATGACATCACTACTGAGATAATACATGACAGCTTCCCTCTGTCAATGGACGGGCGAAGGTCCCACCATGTCCTTACCAACCAGTGACGTCCCACATGGAAGAAAAATATTGTTTACAAATATTCTTCCCAAATATATCGACATATATTTGAAATGCTACAATTTTGCCCATATTCAATATATTTCAAATATATATATATACTGTATGCTGAAATGCATTTTTTATACATTACAAAAATATATAAAGGTATTTTTTAAAAAATAAATTTAATCTACATTTCTGGAATGCATTTACAAATATATGTTAAAATGACTTTTTTTACATGTTAAAAAATCCTAAAAAATATATTTTAAAAAATATATATTTTTAAATATATGCCTTTAGAAAATATATTTAAATTTACATTTTTAGAATATATGTTAAAAAGTATATTATCGTAGGCCAAAATATTGGAAATATATGTCACATATATCATTTTATTTCTAAATATATTAGAAATATATTTCTCTTCCATGTGGGATCGTCTGCCTCATTCACTTACATGACTGGGAATCCCCCGGCCATATGAGCAAAGGAGGTGGGGATAGATAAAAAAAGAAAGTGGGGGTTCCCCATAGTTCATATTAGGCCCCCAGATAGGGCCCCTATTCATTCTAAAAAAAAAAAAAAAAGTAAACAATAAAAAGAAACACAAAGGCAGCTTTTGACAAGACTTGTGAAAGATGAACTACAAGTCCCATCTGCCTTTGCAGTATTATTTCTCAATGGAACATGAATGTGGCGATCACCAACTTGTAGCCGATTGATACTTCCTTTAGCCCTCTATACCTTGGCTGGAGGAAGAGTCTGAAGACGCCTGGCATTGCAGCTGCCTCCCGCCATTCGCGAATGCGATTTTTTTTGCGGGATGATTGCAAAAAAAATAACACATGCGCATTTTTTTTATTGCAAATATTTGCGCATTTATCATTTTTTTTTTTTAATAAAAGGTGGAGTTGGACTTTAAATCGGAGAGAGCCGCTCAGTCATTTCATTATTTTTCCCAATCACTCCATCCAAGGGCAGAGAAATGTTTTCTCAGAGAGAGGCTCTTCTATTTTCCATGGATGACAGTGATGTACGAGCTCGAGTCTTGTGATTCCTCTAATAACAGGAATGTGTGGCCCCTCCCCCCTCTGATCGCTGCCAAACACACGGCGCTGCACTCTTCCATGCAGATACAGCATAATTCTACATTACGTTCTGCTGCTGAATTGTGTCCTTCCAGCGTGACGTGACCTGCAAGTCCATCAATTGGCCATCGCCGCGGAGGGCCAAAAAACTGGACTATTAAAAAATGTGTAGCCATCATGGAGAAACGTGACCTGCAAGTCCATCAATTGGCCATCACCGCGGAGGGCCCCCGCACTGGACTAGGGTGCAATGTGTAGCCATCATGGAGATACGTGACCTGCAAGTCCATCAATTGGCCATCGCCGCGGAGGGCCCCCCACTGGACTAGGGTGCAATGTGTAGCCATCATGGAGATACGTGACCTGCAAGTCCATCAATTGGCCATCACCGCGGAGGGCCCCCCCACTGGACTAGGGTGCAATGTGTAGCCATCATGGAGATACGTGACCTGCAAGTCCATCAATTGGCCATCGCCGCGGAGGGCCCCCATACTGGACTAGGGTGCAATGTGTAGCCATCATGGAGATACGTGACCTGCAAGTCCATCAATTGGGCCATCGCCGCGGAGGGCCCCCCACTACTGGACTAGGGTGCAATGTGTATCCATCATGGAGATACGTGACCTGCAAGTCCATCAATTGGCCATAATCGCCGCGGAGGGCCCCCCACTGGACTAGGGTGCAATGTGTAGCCATCATGGAGATACGTGACCTGCAAGTCCCATCAATTGGCCATCGCCGCGGAGGGCCCCCCACTGGACTAGGGTGCAAATGTGTAGCCATCATGGAGATACGTGACCTGCAAGTCCATCAATTGGCCATCACTGCGGAAAAAAAAAAAAAACTGGACTAGGGTGCAATGTAGCCATCATGGAGAACGTGACCTGCAACAACCAAAAAAATTGGCCATCGCCGCGGAGGGCCCCCCATGGAAAAATGGGTAGCCAACATGGAGAAAACGTGACCTGCAAGTCCATCAAATTGGCCATCGCCGCGGAGGGCCCCCCACTGGACTAGGGTGCAATGTGTAGCCATCATGGAAAAATACGTGACCTGCAAGTCCATCAATTGGCCATCACCGCGGGAGGGCCCAGCACTGGACTAGGGTGCAATGTGTAGCCATCATAGAGATACGTGACCTGCAAGTCCATCAATTGGCCATCACCGCGGAGGGCCCCCGTACTGGACTAGGGTGCAATGTGTAGCCATCATGGAGATACGTGACCTGGGGGGATGGGGTCCTTCTACTATTGGAGGTTCTGCCTTTAGCAATCATATATTGGGAAATCTTCACCGGCTCCCAAACCCGACGCAGAATGTTATGGGGCGCCAGATTCAAGAATCGAAGAAAATGTATATATAGGACAGGGATTAGGATGTAAAAAATCCTGAGCTACGAGCCAGACCTTACTCGCCACCAACAACAACGCAAACACAGACACATGTACACACACAGACATGTACATACAGAAACATGTACACACAGACACATGTACAACACATACAGACACATGTACACACACAGACGTACATAAACACACACACACACAGAGACACCTGTACACAAAAAAACACACAAAAACATGTACACACACACACATACAGACACATGTATACACACACAGGCACGTACAGACACACATACACACAGATACATGTACATACATACACAAAAACACATGCACAGACACATGTACATACATACATACACAGACACATGCACATACACACAAACAAATACACACACAAGAAACATGTGCACACACGCACAAGACAAAATGAACACACACACACATACAGACACATGTATGCACACACAGGCACGTAAAGACACACATACACACAGATACATGTACACACATACACAGAAAATACACATGCACAGACACATGTACATATACACAGACACATGTACATACATACACACAAACAAAACACACATGTACATGCACACACACACAGACACATGTACATACACACACATACACAGAAAAAATGTACACACACCTACAGACACATGTATACACACACAGGCACTTAGAGACACGCATACACACAGATACATGCACATACACAGAAATACACATGCACATACACATGTACATACATACACAGTACATACATACAAACACATGTACACACATGTACACACACAACACACACACACACACACACACACACACACACACACACAGACAGACACACACACATACATGTACAGATACACACATGTACATAAACACAGACACATGTACAATTGTACATGCATACACAGACACACACAAACACACACACATGTACAAGTAACAAACACACCCCATAAGAAGTTGCAGTACTTCGTTGTTCACTCACAGAGCCGGGTACTGCACTCTAGGGGGAGGCGGAGAGCACAGCACACACTCCTTGCTTTGCTTTAACTGCACTCAGCTATTGATCAGTCTGACGGCTCCCAGTGCCAGTGACAGATCCGGCCTGAGCTCCGAGCCTGCTCAGCAAGACGGCCCTGGGGGACACACTCACCCCCCCCACCATAATTTCCACTCACCATTGGCGAGCAGGCGAGTGGAAATTTCAAGCCCTGATATAGAATATATACAGTACTGTGCAAAAGTTATAGGCAGGTGTGATGAAATGCTGCAAACTAGGAATGTTTTCAAAAATATGGATTTTCATTGTTTATGTTTATCAACTGACAAAACGAGGAGCGAGCGAACGGGAGAAAAATCTAATCGATGTTTGTGGTGACTACGCTTTGGCTTCAGACCATTCATCAAGCTCTTTTGAAGAAGCACAAAGAAACAGGAAACGTAGACGCAGTGGTTGGGGAATGTTGAGGAGCGTAGATACAGTGGTTGGGGAATGTTGAGGAGTGTAGGTGCAGTGGTTGGGGAATGGTGAGGTGTAGACGCAGTGGGGAATGTTGAGGGGAATGTTTGGGGAAGGAGCGTAGTGCAGTGGTTGGGAATGTTGGTTGGGGGCAATGTTGAGGAATGTTGAGGAGCGTGCAGTTGTTGGGAAATGTTGAGAGCGTAGACGCAGTGGTTGGAATGGATGTAGTTGAGGAGCGTAGACGCAGTGGTTGGGGAATGTTGAGGAGTGTAGACGCAGTGGTTGGGGAATGTTGAGGAGTGTAGACGCAGTGGTTGGGGAATGTTGAGGAGTGTAGATGCAGTGGTTGGGGAATGTTGAGGAGCGTAGACGCAGTGGTTGGGGAATGTTGAGGAGCGTAGACGCAGTGGTTGGGGAATGTTGAGGAGTGTAGATGCAGTGGTTGGGGAATGTTGAGGAGCAGTGGTTGGGGAATGTTAGATGCAGTGCAGTTGGGGAATGTTGAGGAGCGTAGAGTGGTTGGGGGCAGTGGTGGTTGGGGAATGTTGAGGAGTGTAGATGCAGTGGTTGGGGAATGTTGAGGAGTGTAGATGCAGTGGTTGGGGAATGTTGAGGAGCGTAGACGCAGTGGTTGGGGAATGTTGAGGAGTGTAGGTGTTGAGGAGTGTAGATGCAGTGGTTGGGGAATGTTGAGGAGCGTAGACGCAGTGGTTGGGGAATGTTGAGGAGTGTAGATGCAGTGGTTGGGGAATGTTGAGGAGTGTAGATGCAGTGGTTGGGGAATGTTGAGGAGTGTAGATGCAGTGGTTGGGAATGGAGGATGTTGCAGTGGTTGGGGAATGTTGAGTGTAGACGCAGTGGTTGGGGAATGTTGAGGAGTGTAGATGCAGTGGTTGGGGAATGTTGAGGAGCGTAGACGCAGTGGTTGGGGAATGTTGAGGAGCGTAGAGTGCAGTGGTTGGGGAATGTTGAGGAGTGTAGACGCAGTGGTTGGGGAATGTTGAGGACGCAGTGGTAGACAGTGGTTGGGGCATGTGACGCAGTGGTTGGGGAATGTTGAGGAGGACGCAGTGGTTGGGGAATGTTGAGGAGCGTAGACGCAGTGGTTGGGGAATGGAGGATAGACGCAGTGGTTGAGGAATGTTGAGGAGCGTAGACGCAGTGGTTGGGGAATGTTGAGGAGCGTTGACGCAGTGGTTGGGAATGTTGAGGAGCGTAGACGCAGTGGTTGGGGAATGTTGAGGAGCGTAGACGCAGTGGTTGGGGAATGTTGAGGAGCGTAGACGCAGTGGTTGGGGAATGTTGAGGAGCGTAGATGCAGTGGTTGGGGAATGTTGAGGAGCGTAGACGCAGTGGTTGGGGAATGTTGAGGAGCGTAGACGCAGTGGTTGGGGGTTGGGGAATGGTGAGGACGAACGCGTAGACGCAGTGGTTGGGGAATGGTTGAGGAAGCGTAGACGCAGTGGTTGGGGAATGGAGGAGCGTAGACGCAGTGGTTGGGGAATGTTGAGGAGCGTAGACGCAGTGGTTGGGGAATGGTGAGGAACGTAGACGCAGTGGTTGGGGAATGGTGAGGAACGTAGACGCAGGGGTTGAGGGGAATGGTGAGGAACGTAGACGCAGTGGTTGGGGAATGGTGAGGAACGTAGACGCAGTGGTTGGGGAATGGTGAGGAACGTAGACGCAGTGGTTGGGGAATGGTGAGGAACGTAGACGCAGTGGTTGGGGAATGGTGAGGAACGTAGACGCAGTGGGTTGAGGGGACGCATGGTGAGGAACGTAGACGCAGTGGTTGGGGAATGGTGAGGAACGTAGACGCAGTGGTTGGGGAATGGTGAGGAACGTAGACGCAGTGGTCGGGGAAAAAAAATCCCTGAATGGGCTGTGAGAACAAATTACACGCAGCCAAATGAGACAGAAGGAACACAAACACAGCCAAGAAGCATGCAGCCAGTGTTGGCCTTTATTATTATTATTATTATTATATAATCCAAAGTTCAGTAACACAATTCAACATTAAATGACCTTTTATAAAGTTGAATTTAAAATTAAAAAAAAAGTCCATCTCCCCCCCCCTTTCACCCCTCTCTCTCTTCCCCCCCCCCCCCCTTTCACCCCCCCTCTCTCTCTCCCCCCCCCCATATCTTCTGTTGCAGAGAAGCCAGTCAGCCCCTCAAGGTTGATGAGGTTTCTGTTGTTTCCTCAATAGACGGAGTGAAGGGATGAGGCCTTTCTGGGGGTCTCGGTGTGACATTGTATATGAATATTGCAGCTCTCAGATGCCTCCCCCCCCCCCTCCAATGTCGGCCTCCTGTTGTCTCCGGATTCTTTTCTACAGCCTCTGACTCTGAATGCCTCAGCAGACACCCCCCCTCCTCACCTCCACACCTCCCCAGCAACTATAGACCCCCAGCAACAACAACAGATCTCCCAGCAGCCGGCATCAACAGACCCTCCAGCAGCCGGAATCAATAGACTTTTCCTTCAACAGTAGATCCCTCCCAGTAACATAAGACCCCCTCAGTAACAATTGATGACCCAACAGCAGCAACAGACATCCTCAGCAAAAATAGGTCCCCCACTAACATCAATAGACCCTCCAGCAGCCGGCATCAAGAACCCTCCAGCAGCCGGCATCAATAGACCCTCCAGCAGCCACCATCAATAGACCCTCCAGCAGCCGGCATCAATAGACTCTCCAGCAGCCGGCATCAATAGACCCTCCAGCATCCGGCATCAAGAGACCCTCCAGCAGCCGGCATCAAGAGACCCTCCAGCAGCCAGAATCAATAGACCCTCCAGCAGCCGGCATCAATAGAACCTCCAGCAGCCGGCATCAATAGATCCTCCAGCAGCCGGCGTCAATAGGCCCTCCAGAAGCAATAGGCCCTCCCGGCATCAATAGACCCTCCAGCAGCCGGCATCAATAGACCCTCCAGCATCCGGCATCAAGAGACCCTCCAGCAGCCGGCATCAAGAGACCCTCCAGCAGCCGGAATCAATAGACCCTCCAGCAGCCGGCATCAATAGACCCTCCTCCAGCAGATCCTCCGCATCAATAGACCCTCCAGCAGCCGGCATCAATAGATCCTCCAGCAGCCGGCATCAATAGATCCTCCAGCAGCCGGCATCAATAGACCCTCCAGCAGCCGGCATCAATAGACCCTCCAGCAGCCGGCATCAATAGACCCTCCAGCAGCCGGCATCAATAGACCCTCCAGCATCCGGCATCAATAGACCCTCCAGCAGGCGGCATCAATAGACCCTCCAGCAGCCGGCATCAATAGACCCTCCAGCAGGCGGCATCACATAGACCCACCAGCAGCCGGCATCAATAGACCCTCCAACAGCCGGCATCAAAGACCCTCCAACAGCCGGCATCAATAGATCCTCCAGCAGCCGGCATCAATTAGATCCTCCAGCAGCCGGCATCAATAGATTCCAGCAGCCGGAATCAATAGACTCTCAGCAGCCGGCATCAATAGACCCTCCAGCCGGCATCAATAACCCTCCAGCAGCGCATCAATAGACCCTCAGCATCCGGCATCTAGACCCTCCGCAGGCGCATTAGCACGCTGCGACTCATCAATCCCTTTTCACTGGGGGGATCAATAGAGCAGGCGGCCACCCTCCAGCAGCCGGCATCAATAGACCCTCCAGCAGCCGCATCAATCTCCAGTGCATCAATAGACCCTCCCAGCGTCTCCAGCAGGCGGCATCAATAGGCCCTCCAGCAGCCGGCATCAATAGACCCTCCAGCAGCCAGCATCAATAGACCCTCCAGCAGGCGGCATCAATAGACCCTCCAACAGCCGGCATACAATAGACCCTCCAGCAGCCAGCATCAATAGATCCAGGCGGACAATAGACCCTCCAGCAGGCGGCATCAATCCCCTCCAGCATCCGGCATCAATAGATCCTCCAGCAGCCGGCATCAATAGATCCTCCAGCAGCCGGCATCATAGATCCCAGCCGGCATCAATGACCCTCCAGCAGCCGGCATCAATAGATCCTCCAGCAGCCGGCATCAATAGATCTCCAGCAGCCGGCATCAATAGACCCTCCAGCAGCCGGCATCAATAGGCCCTCCAGCACCCCCCGGATCACAGTCATTCCATACATACGGCGCCCCCTGCCTGGCTATTAGTACACAAAGCACTTCTAAGACGCAGATATTGTTTACATCGAATTCCGGGACATGATCAGAACTTCTATTCAGCGGAAAGCGATTTGGAATCAGCAGGCGGTCTCTCTGCACGATGCACGCTGGGACTCTCTTCCCTTTTCACTGGCGGATGAGCCAGCAGGCAGAAATTGGCCGATCTGTGACACGTTCCGGCTGACCATGCATTATATATGAGATGATGACTCTTAGAAATGAGATGGACACAATGCTAACAATCCGGGGACACGATCCTCGGGGGACACGATCTGGGGACACAATCCGGGGACACAATCCGGGGACACGATCTGGGGATACGATCCCGGGGACACGATCCGGGGACATGATCCGGGGACACGATCTGGGGACACGATCTGGGGACACGATCCGGGGACACAATCTGGGGACACAATCCGGGGACACGATCCGGGGACACGATCTGGGGACACGATCCGGGGACACAATCCGGGGACACGATCCAGGGACACGATCCAGGGACACGATCTGGGGACCCAATCAGGGGACACACAATCCGGGGACATGATCCGGGGACACAATCTGGGGACACCATCCGGGGACACGATCCGGGGACTCG